AAATTTGTAAAGAAGTTCTTACGAGATGCTTGTCAAACTGAATACGACTGAAAGCTCCATTCAGCAATTTTAAAAAAGTAGCATGATGATTCAGGAATCTTGTATTTTAAAAAGAACAATTTGACATGGAAAATTTATTGGTTGTTTTGACACCGAAAGGAAACAAAACTATCAAACAAAAAGGGTGAGATAACACAGTGTGCAGCAGGCCAGGCAGCATCAGAGGAGCAGGAAAGCTGACGTTTAGGGTTGGGACCCTTCTTCAGAAATGTGGGAGGGGAAGGGGGCTCTGAAATAAAAAGGGTGATTTGGATTGCTGCTTCATTCCAGATGTCAATACATCTGTTTTGTGCTTCCAGAATCTGAATTGGTAGTTCTAATGCAGAATTCTCAAAAAGAACTTCACTTAGGCCCATAGTTCCTTCAGACAAAATTAGAGATTGTTGTCTTTTCCCACACTCATTAAGGGCAGTGCATGAACCTCACACATGCTATTACTGCAAAACTTGTGAATTGATCTGCTGAAATTTTGTCTTCCTGCATCTGTCCCAGTAAGTATAAGACACACAAGGCTTTTCGACAGCAATACTCAAAAGGTTCTGTCATACCAAACAAACTATGAAAATGGTGTATTTGGCAGATGATTTTTTTTCTTAATACTACTTTTCATCCCTTTCCTGGTCAATTCCTGAGCACTTGGAGGAAAGTCTATCGGAAAGTGGCTAAAGGAAAGTCAGAAAGAAACATTAATTTGCACTGAAATCAAATGTAAATCTAGGAACACCTTTTTGCCAAAGGAACATGGGACACAATTAGCTGCTTCAGTCAAATGACTGGAGAGTTAAATTTTAACTGCAAATTCTACCCAGTAGAGTCACACAGCACGGAAACAGACCCTTTGGCCCAATTCATCCACGCCGACCAGGTTTCCTAAACTAAACTAGTCCCATTAGCCTGCATTTGGCCCATGTCCCTCTAAACATTTCTGAAATAACCCCACAGAGGCCAGTATCCTGACACAAAGTCACCCTTTATTTACATATGGAGAGTCTTTAACACTGATCCAGCTCCCTCAAAGCCAGCCTCTCAGACTGAACAGGATGTCCAACACTCCTATTTATTTCTGTCAGCCAGGGCTCCCTGACTGGGCCAGATTAACAGCCCCAATCCGGGAACTCCTATTCTATGAGGTCCACCTGGCTGATGATGTAGATGTGCCGGTGTTGGATGGGTTGGGGTGGTGGGAGGTGGACAAGGTCAGAAGTCACACGACACCAGGTTATAGTCCAACAGGTCTCGGAAGAAATTAATTCGCTTCTTTGGCGGCAACGGTATCAAGGCAGTGACATCCTGTGTGGCTATCTCAGATTGCAAGGTCTCTTCAACAATTGACAGATAAGGGGAACCTATGCCAGCCTTTCTGACTGTTCAGAGGAGCTAGGCACATTTTGCTTCCACCCTGTTTGCGAGTTCACAGCTTTCATATGATCCACACGCTTGTTAAGGACTGTCGTTCCTACCTAAACTTTATACATCATTGGATCTCGTGCTGACCATGCCTTTTACCCATGCAGGGCAATTCCTGTGTTTCCCACACCACAACAGGTCCCCTATGTAAACTGTCTCTCTTGCCTAGTGGAGTCTTGTGTCTGGATCTGATGCTCCTGATGCTGATTCACCACCCCACACCCAGTTCCAAGAAGATCAGATTTAACCTGGTCTGGACTCTTCTCCCCATTAGCAACTCTGCTGGAGCTATCCCCGTAGTTGCACGAAGGGTGATCCTATAACAAATAAGAACTGGGACAGTTTGGTATTGAGTGAAGTTGTAAGCTGTTTCTTTATGCCTGCCTTTAAAGTTTGGACTGGTCTTTCTGCCAGACCATTGAATGATGGATGACATGGAGCTGTCCTTATATGTCGAATACCATTTGTGTTTAGGAAATACCCAAATTCCCTGCTGATAAATGATGGCCAGTTATCTGTGACTAACACTTCCAGAATTCTGTGTATTGCAAAAGACGTACACAGTTTTTATATCTTTGCCCCTGTGTTATATGAATGAAACTCTATGCATGTCCAACCACAATGATTAAGAACATTGAGCCCATAAAAGGACCTGAATAATTGATGTGTATCCGAGTCTAGGCCATTCCCATGAAAGTGGGAGAGCTGCTGGTGGTAATTTTTATCCTTGTTGGCACTCTGGGCACTGCCCGACCAACACGGCCACCAGACATAACTTCTTGTCAACATCTTAATTTTGGAGACCTCTGGATGACCGTGGAGCAGTTCGACCAGGCAGCAACCTTTGCTTGGGATATTCACTCTTGCTCCCTCTACTTTGACTGAAAGTGTGTCCAGAAAATTTAAAACCATTATGGACTCCTCTAGTGGCAGTATGACTGGTGGTGTATCTGCCAGTGGGAGGGGGCTCAATGCATTCGCACTTGCTACTTAACTTCCCAGAAGGTGTTCCAACTTGTAATTACATCCACTTAAAATTAGAGCCCATTACTGAATTTGGCCTGTAGCCATGGGCAGCACTGCCCTGTCCTCTTCAAATAGACCTAGCAGGGGTTTGTGGTCCATTTATTATTAGAAATTTACATCCGCAAAAGGTATTGGTGGAACTTCCTGACTCTAAATATAATCGCTAAATCGTCCTTCTCTATCTGGGCGTATTTACGTCCTGAATGCATATGCTATTGGATGTTCCTCTCCACTGGACCACCTATGAGCTAATAGTACCTTGATGCCATACCAGATCTCACTTGGGATCACTGTGTGCCAACACCTTAGAAGATGATACCTGTTTCTTCACTTCCCTGAAAGCAATGGCTTGGCTACACAACCATTTCCACGGCTGACCCTTTTTAAAGAGTTGACGCAATGGTGCCAGGATGAAGGCCACATTATGTATGAACTATCCGTAATAATTCATCAGCCTGAGGAAAGACCTAAGCTCAGGTACAGACATGGGAGCCGAGGCATCTTTGACAACACTCACTTTATCTTCCAACAGGTGTAACCTGGTCTTGTCGACTCTATAGCCCAAGTAGGTCACTTGGGGTGCCTGAAACACACATTTTCCCTTCGAAGGTATATGGGAGAAACAGGGTTATGTCCAAGTTCTCCAAGTGCTCCTTATTGGTCTTCCTTGTTATTGGCACAACATCTGGATAAATAGGAACCTGCTGAAAATAATGGCATGATGCAAGCAATGCTTATCCTAACTCAAAGGTGACTATTGCGAGTGAGTTTCTTCAGGATGTGCTTTACTCTCATCACCACTGAAATAACTCCACAGTGGCTGGTATCCTGGCACCAAGTCACCCTTTATTTACACATGGAGATACCCTTGTCACAGATTAAATTCCCTCAGAGCCAGCTCTTAGAGTGCCAGGATGTCTGACACTCCTCTTTTTATATGTCAGTCAGGACTCCCTGATTTGACCAGATTAACAGCCCCAATCAGGGAACTCGTATTCTATGAGGTCCAATTGGCTTACTTTGTTACAATAACTAGACTTTCCTATTCATGCAGCTGTGCAAATGTCTCTTAATTGTTGCAGTTGAACTTGCCCCTACCGCTTTCTCTGGCAGCTTGTTCCATGTATGCACCACCCTCTGTGTGAAAAAGTTGTCCCACAGATCTGTTTTAAATCTTTCCCCTCTCACCTTAATCCCTCTGGTTTTGGGCTCTCCAATCATGGGGAAAAGACCTGGGCTATTTACTTTATTTCTGCCCTTCATGATTTTTTAAACCTCTATAAGGTCATCCCTCAGTCTCCTATGTTCCAGAGAAAAACTTCCCAGCTTACCCAGCCTCTCCTTATAACTCAAACCTTCCATACCCAGCCTCTCCTTACAACTCAAACCTTCCAGTCTTGGTAACATCCTTGTAAATCTTTGTTGCATCCTTTCCAGTTTAATAACATCCTTCCTATAACAGGGTGACCAGAATTGTAAGGCAATACTCCAAAGCAACCTTACCAATGCCTTGCACAGCAAAAAAATGACATCCCAACTAAGGCTCAGTGGTTCATCAGGCCAACCACATAATGTTAAGGAACTTTAAATCAACTTCAGTCTGGAGTGGGCTGGCCACAAAGTCTATCCGGCAACGTTAATAACAAAATTAAAAATTGCCGGAGAAACTCAGGTCTGGAAGCATCTGTGAGGAGAAAGCAGAGTTAACATTTCTTGTAAAGGGTCACCGGACCCGAAATGTTGTCTCTGCTTTCTGTCCGCAGATGCTGCCAGACCTGCTGAGATTTTCCGGCAATTTCTGATTTCCAGCATCCACAGTTTTTTTGGAGTAATTTTTTGGGCAACTTTAATATGTACATTTCAATTTCACGCATGGGGTGCTGTCAAACTTTCCATCCCTTGACTCCATCTACACTTCTCAATGCTTCGGAAAGGCAACCAACATCGAAGACCCGTCCCACCCCGGTTATGATCTCTTCCAATCTCTTCTGCCGGGCAGAAGATACAAAACCTTAAACACTTGGTATCAACAGGCTCAAGAACAGCTTCTTCTCCACTGTTAGTAGACTTCTGAATGGACCTCTCAAATTTCAAATCTAATGTTGATCTTGCTTTTTGCGCACCTTCTTTGCAGCTGAGTATATGTGGCAATAAAGGCCAATTCTAATTTTGAAAAAAAATCCAATTCCTCGCTCTGTTCAATCACGCTATGATCTCTGTACTTATGATCTGCATGCAAAAGAAAACTTTCACTAAGGTTAAGTACATGTGACAATAATAAATCAAATCAAAATGGCACATCAACAGGAAATGTATCGGGGCGGGGGGCTATTGAAAAGCTGAAAATGTGGCTGCTTATCACCCAGATCTAGGCAACAATAAAACTCCGAAGCTTTGTCCCTGGTTGAACTTTTAGTCAAGATACAAACAGGTTGGAGTGTTGACATTAAAAAAAAAGGTGCAGGTTGCAGAGACAAATGCTGATGTGTTAAAGGAACGGGACTTACCATTCAGTCCGTTGGGGATGCTCCTATGATGGGGGGCTCCTGAGAGGTCATCGGTGGACCTTGCGGTGGGGGGAGGGCCCTTGTCCCCAGCCTTGTGGTGCTGATGGTGGTGGTCCGGGCTGCCGGCACTGCCGGCACTGGACGTACTGCTGCCGTCTCCCACGTCCCTGGTGGCCGAGCCCCCGTTCAGTTGGGTCAGGCTGCTCTGGCTATCGATGGAGTTGCGGCTGCCGGCGCCGTGTCGCTCGTCGTCCAGCATGAGGGCGATCTCTTTGAGCTCCCGGTTGTCCTGGAGCAGCGCCTCTTGCTTGGCTTCCAGCTCCCGCAGCTTGTGCTGCGAGGCGCTCACCTCCTTCCAGACGGCGGCGGCGGCGAAGCGGCCGAAGCGCTGCCACTCGCGGGCCAGCCTCTTGCCCTTCTGCCGGTCGTCGTCCAGGAAGCAGCAGAGCTCGCGGAGCTCGTGGTTGTCGTCCTGCAGCCGCTGGTTGATGTCCTTCAGGCCGCGGATCTCGTGCAGGTGGAGTTGCAGCCGCCGGTTCACGTCCTTGATCAGGTTGCCGTGCTCTAGCATCAGGCTCATCCTCTCCTGCTCGCTCTTCCTCAGCCTCCTCACCAGCTCCGCTTTACCCCATTTCACCAACTCCTCGTCCGGGATCTTGCTCAGGTCCTCCCTGGAGCCGTCCGGCGAATTTTTCGCCATGATCGCCCCAAAAACAAAATCAGTTCCGATAATTTGCAACTAAAATCGACTCCCAATAATTTGCAACCAAAACTGACTCCCAATAATCTCGATATTATAAACCCTTCACTTTACAAACCTCCTCCTGTTGGAACAGCACCAGCTCATGTTTGACCCTGATCAAAAATACGTTCTCCTCCACCTTTTTCCTCCTACTTGGGCAGTCACTTTTATCTTTAGGTAGAGGTAGAATGGTTTCCCCAACTGTCTAATAGACAGAAGGTCTGCCCCTGTCTCTGTGTGTGCGTGTGTGACTGACGAGGCACGAAAGACTTCGATAAAAACGATCTCAGTTCCCCAGCTCAGTTCCAGCGTCGGTCTGTTTTACAGAAGGAAAAAAAAGAGCAGCCTTTTTCCTGACCGGCAGTGCAGTGCTCAGATTTCCGGCCTGCCTGCGGTTGGCTCTTCAAACACAAACACACCGTGATGTCAAACCGGTTTGTCATTCTCTTTTCTCGGGGGGGGAGAGGAGAAGCGAGCGGCGCATTTCTGTCGGAAAAGGGAAATCCTGTCGAACATGGGGCGAGATGTAAATCCACCTTGTCTCTCTCTCTCTCTCTCTGCCTTATTCACGCTCCAAGATCCACATTCACTCCCTGTCGGATGCACACAAAGTGCAACTGGTTCCTCCAAAACCGATACCCGGTACACAAAGAACTTTCGCTTCTCTGCACTCACATTCTCTCTCTCTCCTCCCAGCTGCCACCCAATGATGGTGCAAATTATTCCACACTCCCACCGCGGGGTCCAATCAAAGTGAAGGCAAACGGAATTAAAAAGCAGGTAGCGAGAGGTTTGTATGTCACAGACACATACATAGGACGAGCCTCCTTGGCTTCCTGCACAGGTTACGCTTTATCACGTGTGGCTGGAAGTTTACACTCGATTGTGTCACTTATAGTTCACAGCCTTCCCTACCTGGGAGCAGATATCAGTTTCCAGTCAGTTGTGTAATACAACATTCCAAGGTTCACGACTAGGTGCTGAGGCACTCAGTAAAGCCTGGAGCAGGTGGGCATTGCTAAAGTCTGTGACAAAACATGAGGAGGAAACAAAGCAAAAATTGCCGGAAAAGCTCGGCAGGTCTGGCAGCATCTGTGCAGAGAAATCAGAGTTAACGTTTCGGGTCCAGTGACCCTTCAGAACAATTGTGTGTCTGATGTAGATTGAAGCTTGGAAGGGTGTAAGAAGCAGATTCAGTTGAATTCGACATATACCTGACAGAAATAAATAGGGCGGTTGTCTGCTGGTTATCACAGAGAAATAAAAGTGGGGGATATTACTTGGGAACCAATTCTCTAGTGATGTACAATTTTAAACTCAACAAGCAGCCTCTTATTTACCAAGGTCTTTTCGTTTGTTAAGTTCGAGGTCACGCAGTTCAATGATCATTCTATATCTTTGGGAAGACTGAAACACTGCGGGAGGTAAGAGGCTGTAACTGACACGACTAGCCTGTCTCTCGCTCTCTCTCTCTCCACACCCCCCACCCCTCTCCTTTCAACGGTGTCCTGTTCACTTCTTGAGTCGTGTTTCCTGCAGTCACAGGAAAGGAAATGGTGTGAATAGAAACTGCTCCCCCCCTCCTTCCCCACTCAACAACATTCTGCGGTACATAATGCAATTTCGACTTGAGATCTTCGAAAATTTTTGCACAAAGATTGGGGAGGGGAGGGGGTCCGGTCTCACGATTTCATTTCGAGCTGTTGCTTGGGGATTATTTGTTTCATCTTTGGCTGGTGTGTCATATGTTTGTGTCCAAAATTGCACCCCCCCCCCCCCCCCCCCCAGTAGTTCGGGCGGATTCCTCTCCATTCAAGGCACATGTGTCTATATTGAAGAATTTCAAACTGGGGGATACCATTCCCCCATTCGGAGTCACCGGACCCGAAACGTTAACTCTGTTTTTTCCTTCACAGATGCTGCCAGACCTGCTGCGCTTTTCCAGCAACTTTGTTTTTGTTACCATTCCCCTATTATTCGCTACTGGAATGTGCTTCAACATTGGTTTACTTCACATGAGTCTCATGGGAAGGTGATTGAAAAACACATAGCCCAGAAAACAACGGGGAGAATCCCATTCGCGGATCCAAATGCGATATCAGGGCAGGATTTGAGCTGGGACAACAAGGTGCAGGGCTGGATGAACACAGCAGGCCAAGCAGCATCATAGGAGCAGAGAGGCTGACGTTTCGGGCCTAGACCCTTCATCAGAAAAGGGGGAGGGGAAGGGGGTTTTGAAATAAATAGGGAGAGAGTGGGAGGCGGATAGAAGAGGGATAGAAGAACAGGTTAGGGAGGCAGGGACGAGTTGGACTGGTTTTGGGATGCGGTGGGGGGAGGGGAGATTTTGAAACTTGTGAAATCCACATTGATACCATTGGGCTGCAGGGTTCCCAAGCGGAATATGAGTTGCTGTTCCTGCAACCTTCGGGTGGCATCGTTGTGGCACTGCAGGAGGCCCAGGATGGACATGTCGTCTGAGGAATGGGAGGGGGAGTTGAAATGGTTCGCGACTGGGAGGTGCAGTTGTTTGTTGCGAACCGAGCGTAAGTGTTCTGCAAAGCGGTCCCCGAGTCTCCGCTTGGTTTCCCCGATGTAGAGGAAGCCACACCGGGTACAGCGGATGCAGTATACCACATTGGCAGATGTGCAGGTGAACATCTGCTTGATGTGGAAAGTCTTCTTGGGGCCTGGGATGGGGGTGAGGGAGGAGGTATGGGGGCAGGTGTAGCACTTCCTGCGGTTGCAGGGAAAAGTGCCGGGTGTGGTGGAGCTGGAGGGGAGTGTGGAGCGGACAAGGGAGTCACGGAGAGAGTTGTCCCTCCGGAAAGCAGATAAAGGTGGGGAGGGAAAGATGTCTTTGGTGGTGGGGTCGGATTGCAGATGGCGGAAGTGTCGGAGGATGATGCGTTGGATCCGGAGGTTGGTGGGGTGGTACGTGAGGACGAGGGGGATTCTTTTTTGGTTTTTATTGCGTGGACAGGGTGTGAGGGATGAGGTGCGGGAGATGTGGGAGACACGGTTGAGGGCGTTCTCGACCACCGAGGAGGGGAAGTTACGGTCCTTGAAAAACGAGGACAACTGAGATGTACGGGAGTGGAATGCCTCATCCTGGGAGCAGATGCGGCGGAGGCGAAGGAATTGGGAATAGGGGATAGCATTTTTGCAGGAAGGTGGGTGGGAGGAGGAGTATTCTAGGTAGCTGTGGGAGTCGGTGGGCTTGAAATGAATATCGGTTTCTAGGTGGTTGCCCGATATGGAGACAGAGAGGTCCAGGAAGGGGAGAGAGGTGTTAGAGATGGTCCAGGTAAACTTAAGGTTGGGGTGGAAGGTGTTAGTGAAGTGTATGAACTGTTCGAGCTCCTCGTGGGAGCACGAGGCGGCACCGATACAGTCATCAATGTAACGGAGGAAGAGGTGGGGTTTAGGGCCGGTGTAGGTACGGAAGAGGGATTGTTCCACGTAACCTACAAAGAGGCAGGCGTAGCTTGGGCCCATGCGGGTACCCATGGCTACCCCCTTTGTCTGTAGGAAGTGGGAGGAATTGAAAGAGAAGTTGTTGAGTGTGAGGACGAGTTCGGCTAAGCGGATGAGGGTGTCAGTGGAGGGGGACTGGTCGGGCCTGCGGGACAGGAAGAAGCGGAGGGCCTTAAGGCCATCTGCATGGGGAATGCAGGTGTAGAGGGACTGGACGTCCATGGTAAAGATGAGGTGTTGGGGACCGGGGAATTGGAAGTTCTGGAGGAGGTGGAGGGCGTGGGTGGTGTCACGGACATAGGTAGGGAGTTCCTGGACCAAGGGGGAGAAAATGGAGTCGAGATAGTTGGAGATCAGTTCGGTGGGGCAG